AAAAAGAAAGAAAGAAGATATTGATGTGATAATAGTGGAATAGGGATTGATACAGGGAAACTAAGCACAAAAGGGTGTGGTCGGGCTGGGACTCAGGCATGAGAGACAAGTGATTTTTTTCACCCACTTTAATAAATTGCTCTTTTTATTATTGTCATGGGATCTTACCCATAATAACATAATGGACTATTCCATACGTAATAAATACTGCGCCTCAAGAGGAAGCAGGGAGTTCAGTCTGAAGTCGGGTGACCGGATGACCGGCTGATCGGTTGAACTCAGCCTTCGGGCGGAGAGGAACCCGATCGAGGCTACGCCGAAGGGCGGAGTCTCTTTCGGGGAGATAAACAGACCCTTAACCCGTTTATACGGGTTCAAAGGGCATATTTTTTGGCCGAGCCCACGGGCTCGGAGATCCCACGTTAAACCGGCCTTGTGCTACATGATGTCCTCATGGGGGGGACTAAATACCGTTCATTGTGAAGTCCGTCAGGAGTCTGTCAGTCAGTCAGAGTGGGCGAGTCAGTCAGTCGAGTCAGAGGCAGTCCGAAACAGAGTCGCGTTCAGACAATTACTACGAAACCTGATTCTTCGTACTAACACTTTCTACTTCTCTGTATATATTCCTGTTTGTAATATATCTGTGTTATTCCATATCCGTGTTCGAGTTCTTCTTTATTGGTTCTACCTTGGACTATCACCGTGGTACAAGGAACCGAACCATAACAATATTGCCCCCCTTATGGAAATGTATTTAACTTGCACATATGTGCCACTACAGGTCAACGGAAAAATTGTCCGCCATGGAGCCGGTCCGTGGTATAAAAAGGATTGAAGATCACTGGTTTAAACGACTGCAATCGGAATAATTGTAAACTCCAGGAACATTTCGCAAGCTGCATATGTATCGCAAGGGATACATACACTTTTGAATTCAGTCTTCCTTTTCTTATACTGGTTGCCATTCACACTAAATGTAATGACCAATATATACAAATGTAAAAAAAAAAATACTGCTTTAAATAAATTAAAGAAACATGAAAATTTATAGTCATTGCTATGAGATTATTAATTCTAAATTCTAACGTATAACTCCAAATTTTTTGTCATTGTCTGGATGTGAAGAACCGGCCCCCAAAGTCTGTAAAAGAATTTTTGGATTGCATCTTGGATTGTACGCTTAACGGCATCTACTGTAAACTTTAAACTTAACTCAAAAATGAAGGATTTGCGGACATATGTTTATGTGAACTTTTATCCTTGTTTTAATGTGAGGAACCCGCCCCAAAGTTTGTAAAAGTATTTTTGATACACACAGTATATATATAAACATATGCTGCGTGGGAGACAAAACAGCGAAAGATAATGTCAGAGATTGAGAAGGCGTAACATCGCAATAAAGTGATTTATTCCATTACAAGTGAACCAAGCGACAACAACAACAAAAGACAGAAAAAAGATATTTCAAATTAAATATATATATATATATATATATATATATATATATATATATATATATATATATATCGATTAAGTACAAAAATACACTGCACGCATAAAATATATAGATTCTTCTCCATATGCGTTTTCCAATGCGCATATGTAAACAAATCCTCTACAGTGTCATCAGACTGACACACAAACACTCTGAAACGTTCGTATTGGAGTGAATTGTGTCATATTCTTGTTTTTGTTATTGTTGTTGTTGTTATTTTTCTGAGTGTGCCTAACTGACCTTACGAAATGCAGTCGACAAAATAAAAAAAGAGCGCGCATGCGCGAAATTAAAAAGACAACATGACGACAATTTACCCATCGTACTCTGTATGAGCATCCTGATTCTATTCTCATATTTCTATTTTCTCTCTTTCTGCATTCACACATATGTCTCTTACATATATATATATATATATATATATATATATATATATATATATATATGTTAAGAAATGGACAAGGTTCGACAATTTATTTATTAAAGACATTTTTATGTTTAACGTTGTTATTTATAGATACAAGTATTTAAGCAAATGCTCTGTTTATGATATATATAAGTACCACGCATTTAAATTTATCTATCTATCTATCTATCTATATATATATATATATATATATATATATATATATATATATATATATATATATATTATTCGCAGGCAGTACAGTTTCGCTGTATCACAGTTCCTCAGTGCGACTAGACAACCGAAGGCCTCAAGCCCGGATCGAAACCCAACCGATTTGGTATTATTCAGAGCTTCTTCATTCGACAGGACGAGTCAGCCTAACCTAGTGCATTGTTTTTACAAACGTAAACAAACAAACTATATATATATATATATATATATATATATATATATATATATATATATATATATATATATATATATATATATATATATATATATATATATATATATATAGTTAAACTTAATGACTCAAAAATAAAGGATCTGAGGACATATGTTTATATGCAGTTTTTCTGCATTCAAACATATGTGTG